TTGATGCCGAATTGTCAAGAAGACTGTCGTCAAATTGTGCCCTTAAACTTGTGTTTCTAGAGTCACGTTTTTCGACGGACATGTAGGAATAGTTAAAATGTAATATTCCGTAAAGGGAGTTTGGCGCTGGGAGCTTTTAACCTAGTTTAATTCAAACTGCTTGAAAAACACTAGGTAGATTTTAAAGTATAATATTGTTGTCTGACATTAACTGCTGTTAGTTATTAGTTTGAATTAATAGTTTTAATAATGTGTGTATCGATTACTGAGTGACTGATCAGGTTAATTATCAGCTTATTTTACAGTTTATAATGGCAGTATGCTGTGAATGGTTGCCCTTGTGTGTGCCTGTGTTTAAAGTACTAATTAAACCTGATGTGCTTGTTATTAATGGTGTTGTGAATCACTCCTGGTCAGACTCCTTCTGTGTCACCGCCTGTTGCTGATCAGTCATGTAATGTGAAAACCACAACAATTTCAAGACTGAGAGTTGTTTACTGTGAACAGCACAGAGATCTTCAGTTACACTTAATTTTCCAGTTATTAGGCTTTATTAGCTAAAAGCAGATTCAGTCTGAGGATGTCTGACGATATGTTGCAGGGTAACTGGTTGTATTAGACGGTATCAGTTTCAGTCCTGTGTACCTAATAGGATAAGAGGCCGACACCCGCCCTGATTTTCACACTCTTTATTTTATTTCATAATAATACAGTTGGCATGTCAAGTCTAATAGCTAATTCACTACCATTAATGAAAGCGGCTGTGAACTGACATTTTTTCAGTGATTATTTAGTGGGTAAAATACCAGAAATGATAATAAATGCCTATTACAAATCTGCAGACCCTCAAAATGATATGAAACACAACAACTTACAGTAACTTTTCTGTGTCTTACAGGAATAAAAGACACAATCATTGCAGACTGCAGAAAATCTGAAGTATGGAAGGTAAGGAAACAGCTTGACATTGCACATCCAACTTTTATTTGATTTATTGCCTTAGAATTGTGATTTCTTATTTTGGCAACCTAGAAACCTATTAAAGTGTGATACATAATGATCTTCACAGATATTGATTCTGGACGCCTTCACCACCAAGCTCCTCTCATCATGCTGCAAAATGTCCGACCTGATGTCAGAGAAAATAACAAGTAGGCTAACAGTGAAACCTTCTTTTTACTTATAATACTTTTTACTGAACAAACTGAAGTGTGTATGTGGATGTCTGTAGCTACCTTGTTATAATAAATGTTTTGTTTCTTTAGTCGTGGAGGACCTGTTCAAAAGCAGAGAGCCTGTTCCAGAAATGAAAGCAATCTACTTCATGTCACCAACCGCTAAGGTGTGAACAATAACCCTGTAGTCGTAATAATTGGAGGTTTTCATTTCTGCAAAATGAGTTTTTATTTTTAGTTTCAGTCTGATCACTCTGTTGTTATATCTGAAATTTAATTTCATTTCATAGTGTGTGGATGCCTTTATTGCTGACTTCAAGACCAAACCCAAATATAAAGCAGCATATGTTTATTTCACTGACTGTAAGTAATCACTACTTTATTCTACTACAACTGACTTTTATCCAATATGATCAAAATGCTCTTTTAAAAAAAAAAAAAACATATTATCTAACATGTAACATGTAAACTAAAAGCTTTTCCATCCCACAGACTGTCCAGACGACCTGTTCAACAATATGAAGCTGTACTGTGCAAAGTACATCCGAGTCTGTAAGGAGATAAACATGTGCTTCATGCCACAAGAGGCACAAGTAAGTGGTTGCAGAGTGCTTTTAGGTTCTTTTGTAATGCTCCATTTCCTCTTTTTATCCAGACTCTTACTTGCTAACGAGGAAAACTTGTTGTGTTCAGTGTCAGGTTGCTACTGAAGAGATTCGCAGTGTTTTGAGTTCATCTGGGTGTCGGCTGCTTTAAGCTATGATGTAATAATTTTACAAACGTTGCATTATCTGAGTGTCTTGGGAAGTTGTTCCCTCTCTTTTAAAAAAAAAAAAAAAAAGGTCTTAACATTCTTAGTAGTTTTGTGAGTTTTACAAAGTTAATGAAGTCTTGTTTATTTTTGTTAATAATAATTTCAGGCTTTCAGTTGTGGAACAGGAACATTCCTTAGAGGCTTAAAACAACCCACATGTTTCTTTATTATATGATTACATGCATTGTTCACTTTAAATGAAAGTTTTCTTTACACTGGTGTGCTGAATGTTTTTCAGGTGTTCACTTTTGATAATCCGGGGGCTTTCCAAAGCATCTACAGTCCCAACAGTCAGGACAAAAAGAAGACACTTGAGACACTCGCAGACCAGCTTGTCACGCTATGTGCCACATTGGATGAGTATCCAGGGGTCAGATACAAGAAGTAAGCCAGAGCAGTTTTAGTTTCTCAGCTTACAACGCACCTCAGCCCCCAAGCAGAGTGAAACCTTTTACGAGAAAAGCTCGAACAGAGACCATAGAACACGTTACCTGACTGTGGCTGCAAATAAATGAGGCAGAAATAAAGTTATAAGTGTCACCTCACTTTGCCGTAGCGTAGCACAACCTAACATTTAAATATGAATCCAAACAAGCAGTGTGTAGCTTTATTTTTGAGCATTATATATTATTTATTTACTATTTCCCCACATTATAAATACAACATGTACACTTAACACATGTGCAACAAACAAAACTGACAAATGGACAACAAAACAGCAACACAAAAATATATAACAAAAACAAACAGCCACCCTTCCAAAAAATGTCCTGAAGGTTTGTCAGAAACACTCAACTGGGGTGATTTAAAGGACATTTTCTACAAATGAGTTAAACCAGTACATGTGCGATATGTATTAACACGATTGTGATAACTCATGGAGAACAATTTATATCACATCTAGAGACAGCAACATGGAGAACGCCAAGATCCTTGCAGAGCTGGTGGACACCAAGCTGGTCAGACACTACGAGCTGGATGACAGCAGCAAGAAAAAGGTGAGACACCTGCTGAACAAAGAATGTTGACAGAATACACAAGATCTTCGCCCAGGGAGGAATCCGGGAAACACAGTATTATTTTCCACTGCCTGCTCAATATGAGGCATCATGTAAAAGCCTCAAGCAGGTTGATTTATTGTTACTCTTCACCAGAAACTGTTTGCAGTAGTTGCTGCTCTGTAGAAACTAAGCAGTATCACAAAAGAGGCCTTATACCGTCGAAGAGCAACCACTATATTAAGAATAAGGTGTTATATTAAATGTTTTTTTCTGTATATTTCCTTCCTATCACAAGGGAAAGACCCAGGCCCAGCTGCTGATAGTGGAGAGAGGTTTTGACCCTGTCAGCCCCATCCTGCATGAGCTGACCTATCAGGCCATGGCTTACGACCTCATCAATATCCAGAACGACACCTACAAGTAATCCAAGCTTTTCTTACTGTATCTCACTCTCTTCATTTCACACATACATAATATCCTTTCTGCAACATAGCGCAATGTTCATATTGCTATTTTTTTAATGTAGACAATACATTAATAGCTGAACCTAATCATCTCGTTGTTATTTTTGTGGCCAGGTATAAATCTAAAGATGGCTCAGAGAAGCAGGCCGTGCTGAATGAGGAGGACATGCTCTGGGTTAGACTGAGGCACAAGCACATCGCTGAAGTCTCAGAGTAAGTGCGCAAGATCTGAAGGATGGAGGTGTCCCATTTTTCTCCTCCTCATCACCCCAACCCTAACCCCATTTCTTTCTTGCATTAGACAAATCCCTAAGATGGTAAAGGAAATATCTGCTAGCAAGAAGCAGCCAGATGGCAAGGTATCATGCTGTGGTTTCTTCCAATGTGCTTCATTATTGAGCTGTGTATTTTCATACTTAAAATGTTTAACTTGAGCAAACATGTAATAAAAAATTTTTTCCAGATCACAATTACCAATTTGGCCCAAATGATGAAGAAGATGCCCTCATTCCGTAAACAGATAACCGAGGTATGCAGTAACGGTATAATGATCTAGATTTGGCCTGTAAACTGTTTGTCTTTACCATAATGTTATCTATTTAACTTAAGGTTGAGGTTTTCAGCATAATTTGTTCAAATGGGCCATTTTAGGGGCAACGTTTGGGATCTGACACTGGTCTGAGGACAAATGTAACACTCATATTATTTGCTTCCTAGTTCCTACCAGTAATTATAGACATATGTGATAATTATGTACTGTTTGGGTGTGGTGCCTCCAAAGCCGGGTATCTTATGTGGTTGACTTCAACATGTTTTTAGCAGAAAAACAGAATGGAAAGGCATAATTTGCTGCCTCTATGATTAATATCTTTGTCATTATAATTAAAGGAAATCATTTTTGAAACAATAATTACATTATCTTTACCTCTTTTAACTTTTAACTGTTCTCTCTGTCGGAATTCTAGAAAACTGTTCACCTGCAGTTGGCCGAGGACTGCATGCAACATTACTCAAACAACGTGGAGAAACTCTGCAAAGCTGAACAGGTTCGTTTGTTTTCTTTTGCCAAACATTTTTACACACAACCCTGTTTCAACAAGCCAGTGCGTGGGCGGTGGTTAAGTGAGTAGAGATAACATTTGACAGGTTATGAAGTGTCACTGATCCTATGAGTTAGTTGTGAAGGTCAGCTTCCACATGTGAAAGATGTGGAGCCTTAAGCAAGTATTAAAATAAATGTTGTTTGTCTCTGTGTAGGACCTTGCAGTGGGGTCAGACGTGGAAGGGGTGAAGGTGAAGGATCCCATGAGGACTCTTCTGCCTGTGCTGCTCCACCCATACAGCACCCACGACAAGATCAGAGCTGTGCTGCTCTACATCTTCAGCCTCAGTGGTACACGCTCTTCTCCTACAGCAGACTGGTCTCCTTTTACTGTCTGTCCATAAGCGTTCTGTAAAGTAGTATCTTGCTGTGTCGCCATAAACAGTATCCTCTCAGACTGACCAAGAGACCTTTAAAGAACAGTGTAAGGCAATGAGAATCAGTTAGATGTGACTGCTTGTCTTTCCAAAAAGAAGTTCTTAGGTGATTACTAGTCCCATTTGTTGATTTAATTTTATTTAATAGACCACATCAGAAGAATATAACATATATTTGTGAATACTGTGGTGATTCCAGGGATGTGGATATTCCAGTTAAGAGTAATAATTAATCATTTCCTCCAAAAAAGACCGTAAAACTATCATCACATTACATTTTCACACTGATTTGTTTGTTTTTATTTGGTGGCTGTAAACAGGAACAACAGACGAGAACTTAAGCAAACTTATCCAGCATGTAAAGATTGAGGAAGAACGAGAGTATATCCTGAACTGGAAAGAACTGGGAGTGCCTATCATCACGTCGGTATGTGAAGAAGAGAAAAAGGAAAAAAATTGATTTGATTGATTTAACTATGGTTTTCACCATGTTTCACTTTGTATTTGTTTGTCCATTCAGTTCTGTCATTCAGTCTCAACTGAATCCTGCTAACTGTCTCTTGTACTCTTTGTTTCTAGCCTAGTTTCTTCTCTCGCAAACCATCCAGACGGGATCGTTCCCAGGAGCAGACGTACAATCTTTCCAGATGGACTCCTGTCATAAAAGACGTGATGGAGGTCAGTGAGAGGAGATTACCATATGGTATAATGTGTTCATAAGTAGAGACTTTATTTTATCAAATTTGATTGCAGTTCTTTGAAAACTCTTTCTGACTGGATTTTTATTAATTTGGTAAACAGGAAGTTTATAAACTATGGCTACCAAAATAAATTATATAGCATAACTCCAGAGAATTTAAAGTGGGTTGTAGATAGGACTTAGGATGGGAAGGTAAAAGAAAAAAAGTTCTGGCATTAATGTAAGCTGTGTCTCACAAATCTCAACATGTAGCTCGATCTGGGTCACTGTACAACCCCAGTCCCCTTTCTGAATGGCATCCATGAGAAAAATGATGTGCAGAACTGTAAAAGCACCACAAAAGGAGCTTATCAGATTCAGGTCATCTGATAGGCAGTGTTGTATATATGTTCGTGTCGTTTTGTACTGCTTTATCCGTTTGTGAAAGACATCATCTTTAAGGCACAATAATGCACCAGTTGTGTTTTGATCCCTGGGGATGATCCTTCTGTTTCGGCAACATCCTTCTGTTCTGATCCTCAAATGCTTTTTTTGTATTTTAAAAGCGTTCGATATAAGAGGTTATTGTTGAGATTATGTTTTGTGTTGAAACAGAGGCAGGATGTGAGCGTCTCCTGCTGCCTTGTTAAAGTTTGTGCTATAAAATGAGACATATTGTACACACACTACTCTAATTTACCCTTTCACTCTGTTTTGTGAATAAGTTTGCTTGTGGCTGTTTGTTTTGAGTCTGGTAAGTTGAGCTGTAATAAATCCTCTCTGAGGCTGTTTCATTTAAAACTCTGCTGTTGAGTCAAATTCTCAGAAATGAATAGGGAACTAAGAGGCAGAGTTACTCCACTGCCCTTTGGTCATGAAGCAAGCTTATTTCTAAAACATAACCTGATGTATGATTCTCAGTTCTGTAATTCCACAGAGCAGAAATTCCACATGTTGGTATCAAATGATGTCTGCAAGAGGAAACTCATAGCCACAAAGAATATTCCCCTTGTCTTTTTACATGCATTTTCTTTTGCTAATAGAATTTGTATGTAGTGTAATTTTAATGTTAAAAATCAGGTTGATGTGTAACATAATAAGTTCTTTTGTGTCTTTTCTTCATTTTAACTTCCCTTTCCTGTCACACCTGAAAAGCCCTTTCAGTCTTCCCCACCTGACCACCTGGTTTCCTGTAAACAGTGAACAGCTTGCTCTTACAGCAGGAAACAATAGTTTTTGATGTGTGGCAGCATAAAGTCTGGTTGAAATCAGTTTCAATTTGCTTCTTTTAACAAATCTGTGTACGTCTGTGTATCAATTTAGAACCACAACTAATATTTTATTTATATATATATATATATATATATATATATAATATAATATAAAGTCTGAGACTGAGAAGTGCTTTTTCTTTATTTTAAGCTGTGCTTTGAGATCCCTTGATGTATATTGTAGTTATGTCCTTTCTCCATAGTTCAAGATTTACACATTGGATACTTTTGGAGTTTGGTTCTTGGTCACAGAGGGATTGTATTGTCGCAGACTGCATGTTTTATTACAAGTCATTAAAGTCAAACTTGTTATCCAAATGTAAAGACAAGGGTAGCACCACCACCTAAAATCAAAACCCATGTTTGAAACCTGGTATTAAGTGTTGATCAGATGGAACTATTTGCTCATCTCTGATCATTTCAGGGCTAACCCTCTCATAACATTAGTACTGAACTCCAAAACTGTCAATTCAGCTTAGAGATTCTAGATTTATGTGCATATAAATGTAAGTAGGATACCTCACATTAAGAACAAGCAGAAGTCTCAGATCTATAATATTGGATGCCCAAAGAGATTTTAATTGTACAAATGACAGCTAACTTTACTTTCAGGATGCCGTAGAGAACAAACTGGACACCAAAGAATGGCCGCACCAGTCTGAGTGTCCTGCTGCCTGGAATGGCTCCGGGGCTGTTAGGTACAGTCGGTTTTCATGAATCATCACACTGCAACTGAGTCAGTAGTTTCTGGAAATAATTATACATTCTGCTAGAGATGATCTGAAATGGCTTCATGTCAAAAGCTCCTGGCTACTTACAAATATCAGTGTTTCTCTTTGCTGCCAGTTACTCAAAAGTCAGTTGTCTTTTCATTTTCATCTGAAGGAAAAACAATCCTAAGACAGAAAGTTCATATTTGCTTTTACAGACAAATACAGACAGAGGGTGATAAAACGGCGCCCTCCAGTGATCGTTTCTGTTACTACCTTCAGCTCCAGCTTTTTGATCTGAGTCTGTTTCTTAGGGGATTGTTTTAAGTTTGACTGTCACTGAGTTTAATAATGTGAATGATGTGAGTCTGTTTTTGCATCTATCTTTAGTATCTATTCCTCACACTCTCCCTACCAGGACGTTGGTTTTGCTGTTTCTTTCTACAATTTTTTCTTTTAAGTTTTATTTATGTTGTCCATCGTCTGCTCCACAGTGCCCGACAGAAGCACAAGGGCAGTGCTCAGGACGAACGCCGGACTGGCTCACGCCTCATCATCTTTGTTCTAGGAGGAATCTGCTTCTCTGAAATGCGCTCTGCCTACGAGGTCACCCAGGCAGTAAAATCCTGCGAGGTCATCATAGGTGAGATCACGCAGATAACGGTCTAATCTACCCGTTACTCTAGTATATAAAATATTTTATCAAACAGCACTTTGACTTCACCATAAATATCCTGAGGAGTTTGTACTCACTAACAATGCAAGAAATATTTCTGTGGTTCCTATTAAAGCCAGTTGGTAACTTTAAATTACGGCCATTCAGATTAACTAAAGGTGGGTTTGGTCCAGTTTTATAAACTTTATTCTTGGTTTTGGTCTGGATTGTAAACTCACTGCCACCTTCCGTTTTAGATAAAGTGTTCCTTTATTGATCCCCCATAGGAAAATGTAGTGCAAAGAGTAGAGAAAGAATGGTCTCAGAGACATATAATAAAAATATATACACTAAGTTTTATGCTCTAATTTGGGAGCTAATGGTTATGTATACTTTGATTCTAGGATCTTCTCACATTTTGACCCCGACCAGTCTCCTGGATGACATCAAGGCTCTGAGCAAACGCCCCGTGGAGATTTTCACAATAGACGAAAGGAGCAACGCCTGAGAAGCCGAACCCTCCAACTAACACCTCCCCAAATTACTCAGCATAGTGCACTCAAACTCAATTTCGTAAATGGAAAACTGAAGGGAATCTACCTTATACTTATCTTTATGTTTTAATACTCTTTTCAAACCTGGTGCACATTAACAGTAGGTATGAGGGTGAATTCTCTTTTAACTTGGTCCTTTCATGAGGCAGATTTTCTTCTTGAAGAAAAGCTAAGAATATGGCCTGCTTATGGCAATTAACAATTGTCATTTGACAATATAGGTCATATTAAAAGTGAATTGACTTCATTCTGCTATGAGCATTTTATGTAAAAATTCTCTAATCTGCCTATCTGTGTTTGCCTTTGTCCATAAAAGAAATGATTGGTTGTTATGTTACATGTTGAAAGACCTCTGAGACACTCTCAGAGACATGATGGTGGAAAGCTAATGTATATACTGTATGTAAGCACTGAGTCCCTGCTGTGTCATTCTGACTTTTTTGTCACCGTTGTTAATGAACACTTTAATGTAATTTTGAAGAGTGTTTTTAACTTAGTGTTGACGTCTCTCTTGAACTGAACAACTGACTAATAAATGAATGAAGTGGTTCAAATTGTTGTGAACTGGGATGAAGTTACAGAATATCAATACTATGAGAATTAAGTAAATAAAGCAAAGTACCTGGATGAGCAGGGTGAACTTAACTAAATTAAATCATACTAGATACACAACTTCATGAGCCCAGGAAAGCTGTTGCAATATGTTTGCGTAGGGTGAATTGTTTGCTGAATAAGTGATGGCACTTACCCTATCACCCAAGTCCATCAAAAATGCTGTAACTTGATATCCATCACAATGGATATCCAATGAGCACTGCGCTCATAACTCCTGAACACACAATAGGTGAATAGGTGAACATATAATGAAGCTACTGTAATGTTATAGATCAAATCTGCCCCACTTTAGGCATTATGTTTTAGTTGCACGCCATTGAGATTGTTAACTACATGTTCAATACTGTATACAATACAGAAAAGTGGCGATATTTCCTGTGTTTTCTGAATAGAGAAAACACGAGAGGGGTGTTGAGTCTTCGCTTTGTACTGTAAGTTAATGGAACAAACCTTATACAGTAGATTAAATTTATAGAAAATGAATAGAGGAAGTTTTTACTAAATTTACAGTGTAACTGAATAGTAGCAAACGAAAGATGAGCAATGAATAAAAGGCTTAATTTCATAAAGCCGGTCTTCAAAAACCCTTTATCTCAAATCTCCCATGCTTGGTCGTGCTAAAGGAGGTATTACAAGACCAAATCAAGTAAAACTTTAAGGATAAATGAATCACAACTAATCATCTGTTTAATAGATTAAAAGCAGAGATATGTTATTTATCGAAGGTGACAATGTTGTTATAGTTTGATAAATTGGGAATATCTTGGCACTAAAATCAGCAAAACAAAAGTCTTTTATGTTTGTGTTTATGGTAGAGCCAGAGGGCAGGACACAAATCATGATCTGATATGTGATTCTTAAAAACACAATCATGATACTTGTGAGGGTATCGTGTTTGTGGGAAGGAGATCATATCAGATGTGATTAAACTAGAGAACAGGGCGGCTTTTTTACCGTGAGCTTTAAATCGGAATCACGTTGTCGTGTACAACAATGATTTTTATAAGCAAAGTTTGAATACAGATTTTATTCTTATTATTTTATTTAACTTTTTATTTAACCAAATAAGCCAATTGAGAACCAATCATTATGTTTTATTGCCTGGTCTTGGCTGGTTTAACCTGCACATGAAATTGGTGGAAATGCTTGAACAGAGTCAGTATAACCAAACATTTTTTTAACTAGGCTCTGAGAGTACAATTAACAGTATGCCAACAGTAGACGCTTAATGCTTAATGCATAAGCATCATTTCAGACTTTCGATGAATTTAAGAGTAATAACAAATGTATTACTACTTGTAAAATAAAAAAATCCAGGTATCCCAAACAGGAACATTCAGTTGAATTCAATGTGTACAGCCTCACTAATGTATGTTGAGTTTCAACTTCTTGACCACTTGAACAGAAATGATCTGAATAAGGACATATTGGAGGGTTAGGGTTATAATTAGTGCTTAATACAGTTTTAAAAAGGCTGTATTGATAAATGTGATGTCATCCTCCACCAGCGGTCTGGCTGAAAACATCTTTTGCTGTGTCAGTAACAGGAAAAAGTGTCAGGTGACATATGAGCACACTCACAGGGTCGTCCTGCTTCACTGACTCTCTATACAGGAACACTTACACTTAACAAGGATAACCCTGCTCTCTGACAATGACCTACTTTCATTTTATTTTTCCGCTACAATATATATATTTAATTATCTAACTCTTCCTTCACTCTGTGAGAGGGGGGCTTCATTGTTTCTGTCAGACATCCCCAAATAAACACATATTGCATATAATTAATTCGTGTCTGTGATTTTATTAACAAATTTGGTTCTATTTGTCGAAACAAAATTGTGTTCATTAGTGAAGGCTGAATTCCTAATGTATATAAAGTCAATGGCAAGGCAGCTATCTCAAAACCCCTAATTTCTTAGGAGGAAAAAAAAAGTAGGCTAATTGAATAGCTTTAATAATTTAATAAGTAAATTGAATCAAATTAAAAATTGATGGTAACTAAGCACAGGTGATTTGAAGGACGTTGGATATATTTAACCCAAAATCATGAACAAAAGGGTATTAAAAACCTTAAATACTCCACAAATCAACCCATGAATAAATTCCCCATGGGTCCACGATATAAGTCCTTACTTAAAAATGTTTAATGAACGATTAATAACTGAGAAATGTGTGCAGTTTAAGGGATATTAGACAAACTTAAGCTTTAATAATTAAGCTAAACTAAAAGAGTGTTTACATTTGTCTTGTCGTCTGCGCATGCGTGTGACAACATCGTCATGGCAACCGGCGTTTACACGGCAGCCAAACCTTAAATCTGACTTCTGACAGCTGAAGTTTTCTCCTTTAAAATACATGTAGTGTTTAATTTACACGAGTTTAACTCTGAACTAACTTAAATGGATGCAGGTGAATCATTTCACGAAAGGATACGCGCCATTTAAAATGCCGTCGACCTGCAAATGTGTTGCGGTGGACCCGGGGGGAGGGGGTGCGGAGCCGGGGGAAGGGGCACAGAGCGACCGGCCCAGAGGAGCTCCGGGCGGCCAGGAGAGGCGGCGAGGCCCCGGTGTCCAGGAGTGGTCCGACGGGTCCAGGTATGAGGGAGAGTTTGTGAACGGATTCAAACACGGCACAGGAAAATACACGTGGAGTAACGGAGAGGTAATGTGAAATTAACACGAAGCAGGCACTTTATGGTAACTTATAGCCTTTTTTTTTTTATTATTATAGTTTAAGTTAAGGGTTCATTTTAATAAAAACAGACTGTAACAGTGAGGTTGTTCTGTTATGGTAGAAACAGAACAACCCTGGTGGAAAGTTCTTACATAAAACATGTTTTTTTTTATATTGTCTCCTATCAGTTTTCTAAAAGCAAGTCACAATTATATTTCCCTGTCTGCCCCTTTGTGTAGTGCTATGAGGGCTCTTTCTACAAAGACTACAGGCATGGAGAAGGACTGTACTGCTGGCCCACGGGCCACAAGTTCATTGGCAAGTTCTATCTCAACAGAAAGGAAGGATACGGACAACAACTGTTCCCCGACGGAGCCACCTTTCAGGTAAACCGGGTGGATGCACATTAATATGTTTTCTCATCTACAAATATCATTAAATATCAATGAACTTTCACCTCTCCCCTCAGGGTTTGTACCGTGCTGACCAGAGGTTTGGTCCAGGCGTGGTTAGTTATCTGGATGGGCGTGAGGATGCGGGTCTGTGGCTCGGAGAGCGTCTGCTGAAGCTCTGTGCCTCTGTAGAAGACGGCTTCAGCCTGAAGAAGTTTCCTGAATATGCCGCCTACATGGACCCAGCTGCCACCACAGAGCCCCTGACTCAGGTACATGCTCCCCAGTGTCTCACTCACTATGCCAGGCTTCATTTTCAAACATATATTTGGTTGAAATGTTCATATTTTATACTTGTTTGGATCCCAGTATGAAAATGTTTGAACCAGCCAAGAATATGTAAAACCTCCTAACAGTACTGCCCCGAATAATCTTTATAAAACACTGAATTATTGTAACATTTAACCGTATAAGCAGAAACATTGTACTATATAGAATCTAAATCTTAAAATACTTTTTTTGCACCAGTTTATGTCACTAAAATATGTATCTGCACCCTTCTTCTCCTTACCAGCTTCCCATCGTTGGTCTACAGACAGAAACCAGAACAGACTCTAAGGTAAAGTACTGCTAATGAGTAAGTACATAAGCGTTTAACTCAACACAGATCCGTTAATTCCCCATCCTCTTCAGGCGGAGACGGACAGAGATCCGCTGTCAGATGAGAATTGTATCCTTCCCATCGGCATTGAGAGTTACTCAACAGATGGCGAGCACTTGCCGCTGCCCCCTGGCCGAAGAAGAGAGTTGGATCAGCGCTTCTACGGCGAGCTGTGGGAGCCGGACCATCATCAGCACCGAGGCTATGAGCGAGACCCACTCTCCACGCTCCCCTTACGGGCCCGCATGCAGGCTCACATACACAAACACAGGTCAGACAGGATTTAGGATTGGTACCAAAACACATTGTACTGGCACCAGTTATTTAGTTAAATAAAAGGACATACGCATCATACACAGGCTGAAATAATGTATTTGTATCCTGTTTTATTGTATTTTATGTGTTTGTGTGTCTCAGACTGCAGGCTGACAGTGTGGGCTGGGATGTGGCAGCTGTTCTGTCTCTGAACAGGGAACGTTTTGGTCCTAAAGGGCCTTTGGAAGTCAGTTCAGAGTCGTTGATCCAGCACGCCACCCGAGGGGAACTGCAGGCCGTGTCACAGATCCTCCAGACCGGTTTGGTCCACCCTGATGTAGCAGACTCAAAGGGACACACTGCACTGATTGCTGCCACAGTAACACATTCATTTTTTTTTTTTTGCCCATTGTTTATTGATTCAGTTGTTTTAGGTTTCGAAAACGTGCACTATAGTCAGATATTCAACAATTACAACCAAAAAATACAACAAAATAAATAGAAATAAAAGATTCTTAGGTTTATTCTGTTTTTAGACTCACGTTTGTCTCTCTGACGGTTGTTTTGTTTCTTGTACCTGTCAGGTAAACTGCCATAATGATGTGATCCAGCTGTTGTTGGATATGGGTGCTGATATTGACAAGACGAACTGTGAAGGCATGTCTGCTCTGGCTGTGTGTCATGTCCTCTACTACCCTTTTCAGTCTCTGCACCCCACTTTCACCGAACCGCCCGCCAAAACTCAAGTAGGATTCTAACTAATGTAGTTTGTATCTATGTTCCCTCATCACCTCTACATTATAGCTCTACAGACAAATGAAAAACAACTTGTCCTGTAATGTGTCATCAGGTCTTGAGGTCTCCATCTACAAATGGGAACAGTCCTCAGATCAGCCAAGTGGACTTCACTACAGACACACCCAGGTTTAACAACAGACCACAGACCGCTAACACAACCCTGAGCAGCCTGACCAACCAGTCATCTCTTTGTTCTCTCTAAAACAAGCTAATGAATTAATTTGACTTTATTTGTTGTTGTATATTGTAGGACAGCAGGAGAGCCAAACGAGCACTTCTCCCATCACAGCAGTGAAGTGTCCAATGACGGTGAGCTCATCGCTGAGCGCTGGCCTGACCTGAATGAGCCCGAGACCCCTGCAGACACTGAACACCTAGACGAGGCGGAGGGAAAAGAGACAGAGAGAGAGGGACAGGAAGAAAGGAGCAGGAGGGAAGAAAGAGAGATAGAGAGCCGATGTGATCAAACATGGGAAAATGAAGAAAGTGAGGTAAAAGGGAAGGAAACGAAAGAGGACGATAATGTGCTTGGTGAGAGGAGAGAAATGGAGTCAAGCAAAGAGAATATGGAAGTGAGGAAGGAGGTTGAGGAGGATGTGGAGAAGAGAGTAAGGAATCTTCATGAGGAGGATGTGAAGGAGAGAGACGAGAGAGGAAGTGAGGGCGTGCCTGGTGTGGAGCGCTCCATTCAGGTGTTAGACGGCCACATCGCGCTGGGCAGCGTGCAGTGGAAGGAGTGTCGAGCTAAAGCACCAGGAAGAGCTCAGGTATAAAGCGCAGAGATCCCGTCCTATAATTGGTTTGATAAGTTGGTACTTGTTTGAACTCACCGTTGTCCACTCAACTCTCTGTCTGCAGCAGGTCAAAGACAAAAAACTGACCCAAAAACCAACCTTTGACTCTGCCTGCTCGGTCAGCAGCTACAAGATCCAGGTCACAGAGGAAGCGATGCATCGCTCAGCGGAAGCGTTGAGTCGCACGGGGTTTCCTCAGCGCTCCGACACACAGGAGACTGTACGCAAAATGGCTGCCATGAAGACTGAGTCAGTTCTGTCCTCTCTTTTCCTGCGCTGATTGTTCTGCTCTGGTAATATTTGTGTATCTATGTACTAATCCGATGTGTTGTGTGCCTCTCTGACCAGACACCGTATTCGTTTGAGCACCCTGAAGTTGTTATTGGAGCGGGGAGCCGACCCCAACATATCCAGGGTCCCCATGCCAGTTCTCTTTTTAGCCATCATGGCGGCTGACACTGAGGCCGTCAGGAGGCTGCTGCTGTGTGGAGCTCGCACTGACATTCCCCTTCCACCTGAGGCAAGAAAATATGTTTTACTTTAATATGGAAGGATTTTTTTTTTTTGGTTAGTGTTATCAGAATTTATTTAATGTCTCAAAACTCAACTCAAACACACGGAAAACAAAAAATGAGAGCATCTATATTACACCCATATTTCCTTCTCATAACCCTTCATTCTTAATTTCCAGAAACTATAGAATTGCTCTCAACCTCTCATCCTTTTTGTAGAGGAAGGGTCTGTATCCCCTGCATGTAGCTGCAGCGCTGCCCGGTCCATCCGGTCCCAGAATCACAGAGTTGCTGCTCCACGCGCTCACTGACCCAGACGCACAGGCATGCGACCAGGACGAGATCTATGAACCAGATAAGGTGTGTCTATCCTTTAAGCTTTTCCAATAAAAAATTACTACTAATTGTAAGAAAAGATTTTTAGTCAGAGTATTTTTTTTTTCACAGATTTTCATGAAGACCCAGGAATCACTGAGCACCAGTAAGATCCCGCATCTCAAAGAAGGAGGCCAAACAGCTCTGCACGTGGCCTGCCAGAGAGACAGTGACTACCGGGTCAGTACATATTGTACCTGTACACAGCACCACTGATGAAACCTTCACAAAAAGTCACGTCACGTCACTTCACAAGTGTTGTCCATTTAAATGACTTACGTGTTTGTTGCAGAATGCCAGTAAGGTGGTAGCCCTCCTGCTCTCCCACAGAGCCAGCACAGACCTCCTCTGGAGTGGACACTCGCCTCTTTCCCTCGCTATAGCGGCTGGGAATGACCTGGTAACCCCCCCCCCCC